TCGTCGACTGAATTGACGCGAGTCGATACCGCGCGATCCGATTCCGCGAGACGTTATTAATAAAGCCTCTATGCGACCAGGAGAGGAGTATCGGTTCGCGAAGAACCTCGAATTTGGTCGGAAATTGAAAATTTCACGGTACATGTTCGACATGAGTGCATATATCATGAGATACATAAAATTATAACGTACCAAATATTGTGATATTTCAATATATATATATATAAATTTTCATTCCACCTCTCCTCTCTGATTTACTAAATCGTGTAAAACGCAACGGTCACGGAGTAACGAGTGGTTTCGGAAGTAAGGCGAGCGTTTCCGGTGGGTATCGACGGAAACGAACGAGCGTGGATCCTGCGATTACCATAAGCGGACAATGCGAGATCGCTGGCCCTTGTTGAAGCGAGCGCGCGTTCGTTCGCTCGTTCGCCGGAAACTCTTTTTCCGCGCCGGAACCTTTCCAGGTCGGCTGACGTTTTTCGTTCTCACCCGCGATCGCTCGTTCGTTCGTTCGTTCGTTCGTTCATTCGCTCGTACGTTCATTCGCTCGCCTCCGATTTTCCTCGTGTGATTTCCCGCCGCATGCTCTCGAGTGAAACGTGGGAGGTCGTGGCGGGCAATGTGCAATGTGATGCAACCGGCGTGCATCGCCGTTGGAAACTCGAGACACCGCTCGCGCACTCAGCGCATACGTAGATGCAGTCGTGATTTCTTGCGAATTTATCGGAGAGATGTTACCACGTATCTCGGTGAATCACACGCCGAACCTTTGTGATTTTTATCTTCACTTTCACGTTGTATATTCCGAATTGTCGAACACATTTTGCACTCAGACGTGTGCGCTCTCAACCATAAACGAGGTCCGACCATAAATGATTCGACTCTACCGATTGCCGATTATTATCCGGGTAGAAACTAATGGGGGCGTGCCCCAAGTCTATAGTGGCTTTAGGTAGGCATGCCCCAAAATAGGCCTGCCTTCGTTGGCTACATATGGCCAAGAAAGGCAAATTCTGAATAGAATTCCATGAATAAGCCTTGAACAGGCACTGACGTGGATGCCTTAAGAAAACTTGTATTCATAGAGTCCAGTCCTAGCCCAGGGCCTAGTTAATCAATTCCTGAAATAGTTCAAAGTGAGGTCTTAAAGAGACTTAAGTGAAATTCACTATAATGAGGTCGAAACAAGACTAAATTAACTAACTTTGATTTTGGCTCGCAAAAATAATGTTTAAGTAGAAAATTTAATACGAATTTAATACCAATAGGCTACAAATCCGCATTCAAATTTTCTCATAAATTAGTAATATAACAAAATATGATCTAGTCAGACATATCAAGATAGGACTTAGATGTATAAATCTGGCTCTAATCTGTACGAACGTTGCATTTCTGTATAGGGCCTAAGCGGACTTGCTTTTACAAGGCCTAGATAAAAGTAGGGAAAAATTATGTTGAGCCTTTCCGGTCCCCGCTTGAAGTTTCTACCGGGTAGTCTTTCCGAAATACCGGCAAAAAGGATGGCCGGTGATTATTAATGTCCGGCTGAAATCGAGCAATCGTGATCGTTTTCCGCGGATGTCGCGTCGAAAGCGTCGGACACTGCGGAAAGATATTGAAGCATTAACATAACAATGAGCCTCGAGCGCGAGCCGTTAATGGATTAAAAAGAGTGGGCGGCGACGGTAATAACGACGGTAATATTAATCGCTGAAAAATGCCGCGCGCACACGCGGATTCGTTTCATGCAGCCATCCAACGGAATCGCGAGTCGTTTATCGATCGATTGTATTTAAATTGCGAAACGCGGGATATACAATTGCGAAAGAGGCTCGACTTGATTAATTATCAAGACCAGCCTCGATAATGGAATTAACACGCACGGCCTCGCACGGAATACAACTAGGAAGGTTTCCCGTATCCCGTATCCTGAGAGACGGAGTTGGGTTTCTGCGCGAGATGACTCGTTGACTCGTTGAAGGAGGACAAAGGGCTCTCACGGGGAGACGCGAAATTAGTTTGCGGCCGTTTGCGAACTTGGATCAAACCGTCAAACTCGAACGACGTAACCGGCCGTGCGCAATTAAAGCCTCCGTAATCCGAGCTCGAGTAAAACTCGACGTTTTCCCACGCGACTCCGGGGTGACGATGGAATCGCGAGAGGTGAACACAAGTACGGCGGGTACGTATAGGACCGCTCTCGAAAGCTCAGACACCCTCGGGAAGAGCATAGATTTCGATCCGGGATAAAACCAATTTGATGTATCGCCACGTTTTTTTTTTCAAACAAAAGAAAAAAGAAGAAAGGAAAGAAGTTAGAAAAATAAAAACTTATTAAAAGATAAAGGGATCAAGCCTTGTGCCGTTTTAATCCGCTCGATATCCGTCGATCTTATCGCAACGATAATTCGCGCGCTCGTTCGTTCGTCGGTGCGATAATGAGCCAGCAGGACTGCTGAGCTGAAACTACCGTCACGTCTGTATCGTTTTTCCCGACGGTACAGGTGGACGCGATCGGGAACATAGTCGTCTCGTATGCGGGCCCTCTTCCCTCTCACGCGTTGCGTCCCGCGCGGTGAAAACGCGCGTTTAACGCGTAATCGAACCCACGCTGCCGTTATCCCCCCTCCTGTCGTCGTCGGCGGTGCAACGGATGCAATTGCCCATGCGCATTCCACCGTAAATCAAATCGACTGTGATCGAACTGGCGGGGGAGATTTCACCGACGCGCGCACGCATACACGTGCTCGCACTTTTCCACGGTAACGTTACGCATTTATATTTGTCTCTCTCTCTCTCTCTCTCTCTCTCTCTCTCTCTCTTTGAAAGAGAAAGGACTCCGAGCGCGTCCGTTTCCTCGGTTAATATGGGAGTCTCGGTTCCAGAATCGAGGACAATGATAGCGCGAGCCTCGTCGACGTCGCTCGTATCCGCGGATACGACGGCACGGGCGATGGTTACGAGGAAGTTATGGTTATCAGGTAACATGCGACATTGTAAACGGCGGATAGACGAAGCATGGGTGCACAGTTGGCGGCGACGGCGGAGGAGAAAGCGGAGGTGGCGGCCGCAGCCGCTAATGGTGCACTATCGACGTATCAATGGCGCTGCGGTGTGCGCATTAATAATCCACGTGATTACCATCGAGCAAGCTCATCCCGTGCGCCATGGTGTATTCATGGCGTACCCGTCCGTCGGTCGATCTGTCCGTTCGTACGTCCGTACGCCCATCCGTGTATCCGTACGTCTATACGTCCCGAATGGAAACCGTCTCCACCTGGCTCCGGAGACTATAGCGTTTGATCAAGCGGAACTATAACCCGGAACTATTGCCTCGATAAACAATTAAAAATTACTAACGCTCTGTGCACTGTAATTACGCGCTTGCAGCTAACGTGCTGCTAACAAACCGCGTATTACGTAATCCCTCCCCTCCACTTCCCTTGCGCTCCCGTTCGAGACGTACCCGTTTATATTTGCATGGTTATCGCGTTTATTATTTATTACGCGCTCTATAAATTGGAATCAATTGAGAAGGCCACGTGCGCCCGCCTGGACGTGAAGCGTGTGCGAAATGTAACAAAGAAATATCATCGATAACGACACGATATATGATGACGAGATCGCGATGCAAACGCGATAACTACGGCAATTAGTTGGTAACATCGTTCGTAACAACCCCTTCCGTTCGGTTGTGACCCCGGGTTCTCCTACCTACGCGCGTGGCGGGTGAATTCTGTGCGGGTTGCGCGACCTAATCGGGGGGCTCCTTAATTAGAAATTAGGCGGTCGCACTGGGCGCACCCAAGTTTCGGCGGTACGCTGAATTTTTCATGCGGATGAAATTAGAATCGATCCAGCCGTGGCGGCTGCTCACGGAATTAAATCGCGGGGAGGGAGAGAGTAGAAGGGAAAAGTCCGATGCCCGCTGGTGGTGGTCCATCAATGGATTTTCCGCGGCCACGCAATTTGCCGCCGATTATTTATTTGTCGGTTCAATTAATGTCGCTCGCGTAGCGCAAACTGCGAGAAAATTTATCGATCTACGCTCCGGCCGCGTAGCTTTTGTTTATTAACTTCTTCATTCGTTTGTCCGCTTATTGATGAATTTATGGTACTGTTCATTGGCTTGTTTATCCCTTTGCTTATTCATAGATTTATCCGCCCAGTTACTCGGTTATCTATCTGTTTGCTTCTTGTGTCTCTCTCTCTCTCTCTCCCTCTATACCGATTGTATCGCCAGTCGACTGATTAATTAATTTCTAATTGTTCCATTCATCCGTGTCTTCCATTTTCCGTACATGTATATTGCGTCGCGATCCTCTGCCAAAACAAGCCGAGACGAAAGGAATAAGGAAGAAAGTGGAAGAGAGAAAACACGAAAAGACACGGAGGCGACTGCGGCGCATAATAGCCGTGATTACTAATGATGATTTACGTAGTTACAAAGGGGGAACTCGTGAGTCTCGACGCGGGGCCCGAGGTGCGACAGAGCGCGAACAGGGGTCCGCCGGAAAGGGAAAGGGGACGGTGAGGGGGAGATAGAGCGAAAGGGGAACGTAAGAGGGCTGATTTATCACGCGGCCTCAATCGAGATTAACTCTCCGAGCGATCCCGCTCGCTTAAGGATCCGCCGATTGATCGACTGGCCGATCAATCGATCACACAGCCACTTCGGATGGCGCCTGCGACGAGACGACGAACGCGACGTAGTCTTTCGCAGGAGCTTCGTCCTGCCTACCTGCAACGACTTCCTGCTATGTTCGCTGTCGACCGGAAAATTATCTCATAATGACTATCGTACGAAGGATTCGTGCGAAGCGATCTGAAAAATCGGAAATCGCGGGCGCGCACGCGCATTTTTCGGGATTCGCGAGAAATTATAATACATGTTACGCCCGATCGTCGATAGGAGAAAATTCATCTGTGCGGAATTTCAATCGCGAAAAATTTGTCTCGCCTCGCGAGGCCTCGTAAGAATATTTAAAAAAGGATACATCTCCTGGAAGAAGTCCAGATGCGGTGGTTGCAGAATGTCCAGCGCGGAGAGGACCTGCGAAGAGAAAGAGACAGGAAAAGATTGATGGCCCCGTCCTTCGACCAGACGAGAGAGAGAAAGAGAGAGAGAGAGAGAGAGAACGCGAGATTGATCCTTGTTTCGTGTGGAAGAGAAGTGCGCATAGTTTTCCTTGGGAAAATAAAATGCGGAACCTTCCGATACGTCCACTGTGCGATTCTTAAGGATCTATCGGATGTACTCTCGAGTGTTCACCACAAAACGATATACTGGGTGTTTTCAATTGGAACCATCAAATTATTATGTGTCGAAATTTTGATTCTACAATTAACATAACACAAATAACACGTTAACATTGCAAATTCAGTCGAATTTCAAAAACCAGTAGAGAAATTCAAGATTCAGCACTGTGCAAAGCTATTGTCCTATCTTGATGCTAAAAATAATGATTTACTGTCGTTTGTTCTGTGATGAGTCTTAAAGGAAGGATTTGTTTTAGAATTATTTAGTATTCTATATATTTTCTCCATATTCTATCTGCATTTCTTAATCTTTACTTTTAATTTCAATAATTATAACTTACTTAACATGCAAATGAAACGTGTAGGATAAGCAAATATTAAATAAATGAATAATCTAACAAAAATTAATGGATACACGTAGGAAGTCATAACAGAAACAAGAAAATAATTACATCCAATTTCTTATTCGATCGTTCATGTTGAAAATACCTTGTATTCGTTTATTACGCCATTCCGGATATCGACGTGATAATGATATCACTCACGTTATCGTGTTTGAAGAAACAAAGCATCTTCAGCTCCCTGAAGACTCGTTTGCTGCTCACGAGACTTTGAAAGACGTTCGGCAGTTTTTTTAAGGCTACTCTCCTGCCATCCCTCGGATCCGTGACAGCCCTGAAAAAGTCACAGAATCGAAATTTAAATTAATCTCGTCAATGATTAGCACTAATTGCGACATAGTGTAAACGAAATAAGATATCCCGTTTACGTGAAATATGCGAACTAAATTATCTCAAGTCTATTTAGGAAAAAAAAAAGAGTATTGCGTTAAGATTTAAAACAGTCTTATATCCAATCTTGTCTTAAGTTCTAATTATAAATACGGCTCGAAATCTTGTTAAGGAGGGAGAGAATATGAGCAGACATTCGATCTCGATTTTAATTTCGACGCAATCAAGAACACGAAGAAACGAAGGGAAGGGGGTAGATATCCGAGTGATCGGCTAAATAATATCCGGGGACTCACATCGATGATAACGCTGGAAATACGAGCAGACGACAACCTAACTATCCCCCCTTGTAACCCCGCAAGCCTCCCGCAGACCTCGACCAGCTCCGGGAATAATTATTATCCCTGCAATTAGTCCGTTTACGGCGGGTTCGATTTCATTGTCGAGCGAGTTGTCGTTACCGCAAACCGACGATTCCTATTCACGAGAATGTCGGAGCGAGAGAGAGAGAGAGAAGGATTTCGACGCGACCGAAATCCCATTTTCGGTCATCGCCCATATCGTCTGCCCAGACAGATAAAGTAATTCCAGTTTTTTGAGGAGGGAAGAGAGAGTGAAGCACTGTAGGGGAACGAAAATGACTTTTCGATCCACAACGACATAAGCGCGATACAAGCGAAGAAATAACGATCGAAACACACGTATATACCACGTATCTGTAAAAGTATTAAACTATTCGTTCAAGTCGACTTTGTGACCGATGCTGCCAGATAAGTGGCAAATCGCGCACTAATCGGGTCGAAGTTGTTAGTTTCGTTACAGTCTGCTAAATCGATTCATTTGCGTGAGATGGTCAAAAAAGATCCATTATCTCGAATGTCACTTTTTTAAGTCTCGATACGTTTCCAGTGATCTCCGGTGGAAATTAGGAACTTCGTATCTCTTGATTCTAATTCGACTGATAAAAGTGAAAAGAGGAATATATTTGGACATTTATTATATTCTATAAAACGTAAACGACAAGATTGACATTTTCATTAATGAAAAATTATTAAAAATTCCGAAAAGATTTATCGACGAGGACTCATCGAATCTCGAGCGGGACATCCTACGATTTCCTCAAGGAAATGATTTTCGACTCGATTCATCTCGAAAATTAGCGTCCGAAAACGTTAATTACATCATCGGACTTCTTCCTCGAATAGTCGGATCGCGAGAGAGACGGGGAAGGGGGCTAGAGGGAAAAAAAGAGGTGAACAAGCCGTCGCGAACTGGCGAGAGATTAAGGTCGATCCGACGAACGAACGAGTCACGAACGTAGAAAGGTACGACGACCTTCGAAAAGGGTCAACGCACCCGCCGCAGTCGGCGAGTATAAGCGGAAGTGAAGTCACGAATTTCGGAGCGGAACGACCGTGAAATGATGCGCCGGGCAGAGACGGGAGACGCGGGAGAGAAGAAACGGGAATCAGGAGAGGGAGGAACGCGCCCCCCCGGGGCCCACTTCGCGGTTTCAACAATGTTTATTCATTCGAAATCCCGGTGAACCGACGAGCTTCTGTGTGCACACACTCGGTAGACTCGTCGCCGGAAGTTCAAGGGGTTATTGCCGAAATGAGACACGTCCACCTTCGGTGGGAAACGGCGAGCTGCCGACAAAAGCGGAACGGTGTGTATCCCATAACCGTCGGTTACCTCGCGACATTTTTGCCGAGAGAAAGTTCACTCACGCGAGACATATTCTAATTCCGAATGTACACCTCGCGCAGTGATGTAACGTTAATCGATGAAATGATGTTGTCAGTGATCAATGTTTTAGGATCGCTAGTTATGTCTCGTGTCTATCGAGAATTCTCTGTGATAGCATCTTTCCAATGCGGCGGCAAATGATCGAGAGAGATACTTGTAATTTCGATCTGTGATTCACGTGTGATTCTGGTGCGCGTTTTGAAGAGGAGCGAGTCGTTCGGAAGATTTATTAACCCTCTCTTAGTCGCGCAATAACCAATAGATACTATACTAATATTCGTCAATTTGTTCCTTGTTGTTTTTTTTATGTACTTTAGTACCTGGTCTATTAGCCAAGTGCTAATAATGAAAAAAAAAAAATGATTTCAAGAGAGAAGAAGAAAGAGAGAGGAAAGTGTCTATTATAGTTCTAGAACAGGCGCTCTGAGGATATAGAATATATGCAAACGATAAGCATATTGATGAGTTTATAATAATAAATAAAGTAGTTGTAGATCAATTACATAAGTTGTGAAATAAAAGAAAGAACGAAAGAAAAGAAAAAAATTCAATGAAAAAAAAAGGGATAGGGGAAAATAATGGGAAAATTAGTGTATGTGTGAGATAGATTGCGACGTCTCATGGACGAAGAATATTGTGACTAACGGAGAGATTAACGAAGATACGTCACGGCGTTTCCCGGGTTTTTCCGTTGACTTTTCCGGCCTCTCGACGGTTCCGTAAGTGTGTTGCGAGTTTTTCCGCGCCTCTCTAGATCAGTTTAGCGGCCGATAACGCAGCCAACGATTTCGCATTAGGCACGGTGCCGCTATTCGCACGTCGCCTCGTCGAGGACTTCCTATTTTTGAGAGAGCTCTTTGTGAGACAAGCAGGCGGGGTCGTCGAACGATGAAGTCGCGAGTGTGATTCACCTGCTAGGCGGACTTTTCAAAGTATCACCGTCGCGGGGCCTTTTTGTTCGTAGGACACAGCGAACGATTGTTTGCAATCTTTCACAAACTGCGACGGTTATCGCGAGCTATCGCGCTAATATAACGCCTTTGTCGTACGTAGTACAATGATCCTCTTCCTCTTCTCCTTTCTCATCGCAATTTTCTCCAATCGAAAGAAAAAAGCGAGCGAGATTATTGTCAGAATAAATTCATCGCTCATATTATTCATTTGTGTATCGTGCAGTCTGTCGTTAAAATTTGAAATAGTGAGTTGCAGAACATTCTATACGCGACACCGATCTTTGAGTGAGTACATTCGGAAAAGCGCATAAAAGCCGAAATAACAGCGTTATGCGCGGCCGATATCGAGTCGTTTTTATTTCATCGGCTGCGACCTCTTACGCAAACAAAATGAAAAATAGAATCGCGGCTCGGCTGGCGCGCACGATCAAATAAATTAGTTTGCCTCGCGAGAGCGAAAGCGAGAGAGAGAGAGAGAGAGTGTGTGTGTGTGTGTATGTGTGTGTTCTCTCGAGTCTGAATATTTCATTCCGCGGTGGATTCCATCCGGCGGATGCTTTGAACGGTATTAACGCGAATTTAAACACCATGCGTGATCGTTTGTAATTCGTAGCGCGGATTTCGCGTGAATTTTCCTTCCTCGATGAGCGTTTCGCGGAACAGCCGGTCGTGGAAACAAGTGCGAAGATCGTGCCGATCGCCGGCCGGTTCGACGGAAACCGCATCAACATCCAAACTCGACAAAGAACTCCGCAAACCGGGAGAAAGTGCGCGAGTTCTGGGGCATCCTGTATTTAAAAGGCGGCAGATGTTCCGCAGGGGGGCCCGAAAACCGGGCCCGAATGCGATCCCCACGGCCACGTGGCGAACGCGATACCACGCTTCGAGACAGACGGTGAACGGGCTCTGCCTTTATCCCCGATATATAAGGTGTCCCTGGAATTGAAGGAATACTTCGATGTTCGGCCGACCAAGTACTTCGAGTGAAGTTTGACGAAAGCGTGCATGCACTTTGAATCGTGAATTGAATGATAAATCGCGTCGTCAAGGCCTCGTTTGTGAAAGGTTTTATCCTGCACGGTTTATAGCTCATAAAGGAAACAGCTCGGATATACGTTGAGGCCATCTTCAACCTGTCCCGCGTCTTCCAGTATATAAAGAGAAATTATTTTTCGCATTATATATGTATAAAAAAACCTTGAAGCATATATCCAAGAGCTGGTTGTAAGCAGGGGTCGAGAAGAGAGTCGTAAGATCGCGTCGATTCCGAGACACCCTGTGTAAAAGGAGCGCGAAAGAAGGACCTTCCGTCCGTCAATCTAGCACCTGGCACACCTGACACACCTCGCCTTTTCGAAATTGCGGTCGGCGTCGCGGAGTAGCAGCGATAGTAGCCAGCGATTTTGCAGATTCGGGGAAGCCACGCTGTGTCGCGTCGCGTTGCGTCGCCTTGCGTCGGTGCGAAACACACTCTCAAAAGATACGAGTAGCTGTAATTTGCGCCCGCTGGCCGAATGCCGCCCGCTCGTAATTACGTTCGCGGATGTTTCCTAAGGAAAGCTCGCGTGCAACGCGCGTTGTCGTTGCAACATTGCGAGGCGCGCCTCCCGACAAAGCGGCGTTTTCAAAGGGAATTTGGCGCCGATAGAAGCGTTTGCTCCATCGCCGAGGATAAAAATATAAAAGAAGATTGAAGGGGGCAATAACAGAATATTCTCCTGTGGAAACGGTATGCATACGCTCTATTATCTCTCGTATATCGCGCCTCGAGAAAAGAAGAGTGTCGCAAGAGAGAGTCTCGGAGGACATTCGTATTTGCAGAGTAAAATCGCGAATTAAAAAAAAAATCCAAATAAAACCGACGGAATACGGAGGAATGGTATTTTCACGTTAGTATGTTACGTAAGATTATCCGCGGATCAGTTCTGTAAAGTCGCGAGTGGAACGCGACAAGCTAAATAGGAACGTAGCTCTCGCAAATCCCTCTTGGACTTATGTTACGGCTCCCTCAAACGATTCTGCGAGTTACCAAAGCGACTGATATTCCCGTGGAAACTTTAAACGGCGAAAAAAGTCAAAAAAGGGTTGCGGTATACGATGCGCGCGCGCTGCTGCGTTTCCTCCGCACTTCTGCCTCTCTGCATTCGGGCTCGAGGTCGTTCCTCCTAGCGAGCCGCTCATTATGCCCAGGCCCGCCGAATGTTATTATTTCAAAGTGGAGGAGGGAGGCGTCCCCCTCCGG